TTGGAAAAGCTGATGTCAGGGTTCCTGAAATGAATAGTTCTGAAGTGCAGCCGGAGGCTTTGGTGAAGCAGCGGTTTCTCAATGAAGCGATGTCATTCACTGCATGGGGATGTGTTGCAGGCAGCTGTGGAGCACCCTGTGAAAAGAGAAGGTTCTGGGAGGGTCCTGTGAGACCTTTTCCAGGCAGTCCTTCCCCTTTCTCTCTTCCCCGGGGAGCTCTGCCCGTAGATGTCTCTTGTGAAATGCTTTACCTACAGTAAAGGCTTGGAGAACCTCTACCAAGCAAAATGTATTCTTTAAAAGTTTTGTTGACAGCTCTTTTTATCTCAGTTTATAGAGGAACTATATACTCTTAAGAAAAATGATGAGATTACTTGGTGAAGTTTAATAGAAGTTCTGAAATTCCATGAAAAACATATCTGCAATGGGGATAACAAAGTCTTATGCCAAGAAATTTGCTTGTGTATGTGTATGTGGTTTGCATTTTTGTAGCTTCCCTTGAGATAATCTCTAAGTAAGTTGATCTTTATTTTGTAAGTTGGTCTTTATTTCACAAATGCATCTTGCACTTAAAAATGTACTTAATCTTTGCAGGCTTGGTAAAGTGATCTTGCTTGAATGCTTTTGACTTACATTTCTTTATCACACTGTCATTCTTCCAAGAACACTTCTCATCTTCAATTTAAATGATAGGATTCCTTTTATGTGAGCCGAAAGGTGTCACTTGACAAATTACAAGTGTTTTACTGAATTAATTGCATTTGGGATGCTTCTTGCTTGGATTAATAGCCTATTTTTGTTTGTGGTTCTTTGTTTTAAAACATTACCTCTTTGTATTAAAACATCACTTACGAGTCATGTAACACACGATGTGTTTCGTCACTTCTCATAAGCAGCCTAACACTATGAGTTCTCACTATTTTTCTGTGAAAAGCCAGGTGTTTGAAAGCCTAATTTAATAAGCAGTGCACTCACTGCACCACTCTGATGCGACTCAAGATCATGACTGGAAGACAACTTGAGGGCTTTCAGTTGCATGACTGTGCTAGACCTGCTAGTCAGGGTGAGAAAGAAACTGTTTCCATATCCTTTGTAGCTGAGGGAGCTGGGAAGGTGCATAAATACCAGTCCACAGCTGGCCTGTCCTCTGGGAAGCTGCTGTATCTCGCCAGCTGTCCCAAGGTTCGGCATGTCAGGAGTCTTCCTGCCTCTGTTGGTGAGAGTAGCAGGATCTCCTCTGCAGTTAAACACTCAGCTTCTTAGCCTGCCTAACTTCCTGCCAGGAAGTAGCTTTAAATCCAGGATTTCCGCAATTCCTACCTAATTTCAGAGTGATGTGGTGGTATCATCCTCCATGTGGAGCAGCCTTCTGTGCTGTTCTTGCCAGTGGCCGGAACAGACAGATTAGGGCCACCATGTTCTCACACTTGATGCTGTTTGTTCTCCCTTGAATGTGTTTGAGCATCTTGAGATCTTGTATTCTTATACCTGTCCACGTCATTCCTTTGGAGAATCTGCAGTGGTCTGATGCTGTTGTATTTCTGTAGTGTGGAACAAAAGCATAGTGAATGAAAATCTGTGTGAGATGTATCCTGAGTATGGACTGACTTCAAATAAAGGCAGAAATGAGTAGATATATCTGTTTTATTTTCCTTGAAGTTTATCTTTCATGCTAGATACTTAGAATGCTCTACCAAAAGAACTAGTCTCAGCCTTAAGCCTTTTGCAGCATCTTTTATCAAGTCTTAAGAATTTCAGTTCTGTCTCATCTTTCTCACTTGGCATAGGATATTCAAATCCAAAAAGATGATAAATTAATGCTCATTTTCTTCTTTTATGATGTTGTTTGCAAGATCTCTGGGACATCTGCATTGGTGGGAAGAATACAGCCTTAGTGCTGTGCCAGGTTTTGTTTGTTTGTTTGTGTTATTGCTGAGAAACTATCAGTATGGTTTCCCAGTTACATCTGAAAAATACTTCATGGATTATATAATGTCTGCAAGTGGCTGTGTGACATACCAGACCTGTATTTTCCCTTGAAGACATCTCATTCTCTTACTCTAAATGGCTAAACCCTAAATGGATTAATTTGAGGGTCATCTTGTCACATAGCACTACCTGAGCTCACTCAAGGCATTAAGTTGTCCATATTTGAAGACAGATACTGTGAAAATCAAAAGCATGATTTCAAACTTCTTTATGTTAGAATTGCAGGAGAACAAAAAAGGACAAATTGCAAGTATAAGTGTGCTGAACAGAATTTTTCCATGTTCTTCCCCTGTCATGGGTGATTTTGGTCCCTAAAATGGGCTTTTTATGTAGGAAAGGAGAATGTTAAAAAGATTGATGACACTGTCATATATAAAGACATTTCGCTTGGTGACTCTGTCCTGCTGATTTCCAGCAGAGCAAGGCTTACTAAAAATAATAAAAAAAGTATTTGCCTGAAAAGCTTCTTCATTTGGTGTGCTTCTTAAGTATTTGAAACTGAGAGGTCAGACCATCCTGGCTGTCAGCCTTTCTATGATGTATCCAGAAGTTTAGAACCACTCACGGTACAGAATAGGGACAAATGTTCTTTTACTTTTGAGTTATAAGACATGAGTTGCCATCAGGATGTGTTAATCAGTTTTTTACTGTATTTGTTGAGGTGTGTGGTGAGTTGTGGTTTTTTGGGGATGTTTGTTTTGTTTTTTGTTTTATTTTCCTTTAAGAAATTGAGTTAATTTTACTTTCAGAATCTTAAGAACCAATAGTAATATTTGGAACAAAGTACAGTGTAGGAGAACCTCATGAGATTTTTCAGCTCTTTCAGCTGGTTTTCAGCTATTCCTACCAAGTAACCTAAGATCTCACCTAAAAAGAAACCAGCATTTATTTTCTAAACTCACTGTAGTTTGATATAAAGAAAGCTTCATAAATGTTTAGATACACTGAAAATTTTCAAAATATATTCCCGGAGAAAAGAAATTATTTGGGAAGATCAAATGGATCAAACTGAATATGGAAATTTAGACATTTGATGTACATTTGTTTGATGGATTATTTTTGCATGTTGGCAGGCTGTTAGACTGGCAGGGGCCTGTTGTGGTGCAGTTCTGCAGAGTGATGGCTCTTCTGGTTTTAGGCAGAGACCTGATTTCTGTAGACATAACCTGTAGAGAGACCTGATTTCTTTGGTTGTGAGATGTCATTGTGAGCTGCAGGGAAAGCAGCGTAGCCTCTGACTTCAGTCTTGAATGGAGACGGATCCTTTCTCTGTGCTGCACTCTCAGGGCACGGAGTTTGAAGCTGATGTCTAGCAATGTACCCACATCACACCTGCATCCTAACTCTGAATGCCTCAAAATCAAAGGTGCTGCTGCTGTGGTGACACTGCCCAAGTCCCATCTGGTGCTTTGGCTGGGCCTGCTGTGTGTTGTCCAACTCCACTGTGCTGCTGCTCCCACCCCTGTGTCTGCTGTGGCCTGTGTGTGTATTTCCTCTGTTCTCTGGCTGTGGGAACATAGAGGGATGGAGGATGTCTGTCTGTCTGTCTGTCTGTCTGTTGGTGTGTCTGTCTCAAGGGGCACGGAGGAATGGGTACTGGGGGTTATGGGCCTGGGGAGTAAGGTGAAGGAGACTGACTGCTCTGACTGGACATCCAGTGTGCCAAGGAGAAGAAGAGTCCTAGAACTATCTTGCATATATAATAATTAGTAAATTAGAAGATGCCGCCACTTCCAACTTCACAAAAGTCTCCTGCTCTGTGCTAAAAGCCAATTAATAATATCATGATACTTGTTGGAATATTGTGAACTGTATTGCTTTTCATGCTTGGAATTTATATTTCTTCACTAAAGCTCCTGCTTAGTGGGTGTGAAAGTGAATGTCTTTCATGGGCAGTTTTGACTTCTCCTTAGTCTTTATTTGATGTATAGCTTTAGCTGTAAAGTTGAGTTTTCATAGAATCACAGAATAGTTTGGGTTGGAAGGGACCTTTAAAGGCCATCCAGTCCAATCCTCTGCAATGAGCAGGGCCATCCTCACTTAGATCAGGTTGCTAAGCCCCATCCAACTTGGCCTTGAATGTTTTCCTGGATGGGATATCCACCACCTCTCTGGGCATCTTGTGCCAGTGTTTCAGCACCCTCATTGTCACAGTATTCTTCCTTGTATCTAGTCTAAATTGACCACCTTTCCATTTAAAACCATTACCTATTGTCCTGTTACAACAGGCTCTGCTAAAAAGTTATTTCTCCACCTTAAAAGCTCCCTTTTAAGTAATGAAAGGCTGCAATAAGGTCTCCCCAGAGCCTTCTTTCTCTCTAATCCTGTAGGCATAGCAGAGATGTTCTAGCTCTTTGATAATTTTTCCTGCCTCCCCTGGACTTGCTGCAGCATATCTTTCACATCCTTGTGATGTTGTGGCCCCAGAGCTGGATGTAACACTGCAGGTGGGGTTGCAGGAGGGTGGAGTGGTGGGGCAGAATCACCTCCCTCCGCTGCTGCTTTGGATGCAGCCCAGTTTTCTCTCACTTGTGGATATTAAGATGTTCCAGAAGCTACAATGCCCTGGGGTAGCAGCAGTGGAAGGGCACTGAAAGGACAAGGAAGTAGGGAGAATAGGAAGAATATGAAAGAGGCGTTTGTAAAAGACAATCAAAATGGAAAATGAGAACAGAGTGAAGAGGGCATACAGGAAAAAAAAATTAAAGTTTTCTAAGGAATAAGGAGGAATTAGCCATCATTTAATGAACATAATTTTGCCAGTAGTCAGAAGGACTGATTTGAAACCTTTTATTTGAAAGTGTTCAATTGTGTGCACAGAGATGTGTGAAAAGAGACTCTTTGGACATTCCTCTGAAATACTCAACTTTTGGTTCTTACTCAGTATCAATTTTAGGACTGCATGTATGTTTGTTGAGTGCTGACTTGAGTTCTTATAAAATGTTTTTAAGTAAAAAGTTTTAAGCAAGTGCACCAATTGTAGATGTTTACTATTAAAACTTTCTTTGTAGGTAATTGCACTTAAGAATGAACATTGAAGACAAGCTGGGAGGATTATTTCTTAAATGTGGTGGCATAGACCAGATGCAGTCATCCAGGGCTATGGTAGGGATGGGTGCAGTATCTGACCAGTCTGGAGTATCGAGAGAACGGCAAGAGGCAGTGCTTCAAGATCGGACTATGCCGCACCAAGAAATTCTTGCAACAGATGAAGTGTTACAGGAAAGTGAACTCCGACAGCAAGAGATGATTTCACATGATGAACTCATGGTCCATGAGGAGACGGTAAAAAATGATGATGAAATGGATGCGCAAGATAGACTTCCTCAAGGGCTGCAGTATGCTGTTAATGTCCCTGTAAGCAATTTCTTTGTGAAATATTGGAGAGATTACTAGGAAGCTTGATCTGGTAGTCTAATCCTACTCTGGCAAGAATCTATTAATTGCTTGTTTGGATTTTGATTATCAAAATATTTATGTCATTTGCCTGTGGCTGCGGATAAATTTTGCCAATTAAGTATAATCTTTAAGTATCTGTTTTATAAATATTTTATAAGCAGGCTGTTATCATAGAACTAAAGCGTTAAAATGTGCTTCTTTAAGGATATTTAATGCTCAAGGGTAACTACAAACTGGAATAAGTAGTGTTATTAGAAGGTGCATACTGTTTATGCTGTTAATAGTACTTTTTAGTTGCTTTTGCTATAGGAAGCATCTTGTATGTTTTTAAGGTATGTGGACGCTTAGCAATTGCATTCACACTGCAGGTTGGACGGTGACACTTCATACATGACCATAAATATGCCCCTCCACGATACCTCATAGAAGGCATACCTTGGCTTTCCCAGAGAGCATAGAGATGACTTCCTTTTGAAAACAGAGCATCTGTCTGTAATGCAGCACATCATCACTGTTACCCTTCAAACATAAAAGACAATCACCAGGGCTATAAAAGTAGATAGCCTTACACACGAAGAATAATCTTCAGAAACACAGCACTGTTAGAACACTACTCTGTTAGCTGTAGATCAGGTGGCTCAGGTGTTAGAAAAATGTAAGAGTATCATGGTCTTCATTAACGTTCACATTAGATTGAGATTTTTTAATTTTTTTTTTTTTCCAAAACTTCATTAGAGCTAGTCTTTTTTTTTTTTTTTTCTTAAAAATACTTCTGTCTTAAATATATAATAAATTATTCCGTTAAATCTTACATTGACAACATCATGGACTGAAGTAAAATAGGTGTGAAAAACTGAATGGTTTTACAGATGGAAGTGATTTTAACATATGAACTGATCTCAAAATCACCACAGGTCAGGAAAAAAGACCTTGGGAGATGAATGAAAGGATACATCAAAATGTTGCTGAAGAAATTAACTGTGCCCTTTTTATTTAAGATACATATTAATTCTTTCACTTAAATTTCTGAAAGAGTGAAGCCAGAAGATAATTCCCTTAGGAAAAGGTTTTCTGTTTCAGCAGTTTGTCATCTTCTAAAATTGAAAAATTGCTTTTCTGTAGTGAGAACCTTACCTGAAACTGGCACTTGGTATCTTAACAGATCAGTGTAAAGCAAGAAATTACCTTTACTGATGCATCTGAACAACAGAAACGAGACAAAAAACAAATACGAGAGCCAGTAGATTTGCAGAAAAAGAAGAAAAGAAAACAGCGTTCACCAGCAAAAGTAAGACATTGATTTGGCAAAACCAAGATTAAAAGGACCTGAAGATTTGGTTGACTATGACTAATTTCATTAGCATTTGAACTAGTTAGGCTGGAAATTGTTTGTTTGCTCAGTAAAGATGCAGTTCTGAAGTTCACCAGAGACCCAAAACAAAACTGATATAACAGTGTTTTTCTTTGAACTCCTTTTAGCAACATGAACTCTTGGCATATTTTAACATCTGTCTCTCCAGGCAGTTCTCTCTCCAAATATTTTTTTTAAAATAATGAGTCAGTAGCTTTGTAGACCATTTATAAATCATTACTCTGTATCTATCTAATAATAGGTGTGCTTTTCTGTGAGCCTGATAATTTTATATGCTTCATGCATAGTAGTGAAAAGTTTTTAAAAAGAAAACTAAAATGGTAGTTTTGAAAATTTTAAAAAGTTTAATAATATATATAAAATAATTTACCAGTAGGGAAAATTCCTGTGGTCATAATCATCTTCATATATGTATTTATTTATATAAAAAGATTCTTACCCTAGCTGCTGGTTTGTTATTTAAAAATTTGTTTTGTAGATCCATTCATGAGGAGTATGTATCCCTTTATGTCTGAAAACAATTTTCTTCTGTTGAGAAACACTTCAGATAAAACCAGAATCATTTCACCTCATGAGGAAGCAGTGATATATCTTCTTGTAATTCCCCAAATCAGTATTAATCTTCAGACTTAAAATAGAACATATATATATGCAGGCTGCTCTGATAGAAGTAAATCAGTTATATGTTATCACACAGCAGCATTAAAATAAGCCTACTCAGAAATCAACCCAGACTGTTTGTACATCAAAGGAAAACTCACTGTAATACAAGGAAAATCTCCCAAACCTCCTTTTTGTTGCCCTGGGAGCAGGACCCTCCAGTCCTCCTCAGAGCACTGTCAAATAAGGTTGCACCTGTAGTATTCTTGGAAAGCTGAGAAATTGCTTCAGATTGGGTGTGGAAGCAAGTTCCAAATGCTGTGCATTTTTTTCTCACTTCTCCCTTTGAGAGAAAAAGGAGATCTAGGTTGAGTACATCCAAAGATCACTTCCATGGAAACATGGCAAGGTAGAAGAGGCGTGTGCCCCTCTTTCTACAGACGTGTACTTGCATGCTTCCTTTTTATCTCCCAGTCTGCCAGGGTTAGTCTTTTGAGATGACAAAAGATTGAAAAATGATCAGGAGAATTGTTAAACAGGTTTTTTTTTTTCAGTCTCTCTTCCCCCTTTTCAGAGCTGGCAGAGTAGAAAAAAGCTGAAGGACTGACCTAGGTGAGAGCCTACTGCAGTTTCAGTATTTCCAGAGTAGTGGGGTTGATTTTCCATCAACAGCAGCTGGAACTCTGACAAATGGAAGTCAGTTAACATTCTGGAACGTTCTAAGTTCTATTTTATATCAATGCAGTAATCAGGTAACGAAGAAGTCATTAGGTATCATGACTCCTGCCTCCTGTTCCCTCTTCCACACACACACACACATGCACACACGGACGCACACGCACGCGCACACACACACACGCACAAGCTTCTTTGTTGCTTTGGTTAGGGAAGCTGCTCTGACAGAGTTAAATCTCATCATTTAAGAGGTGGTACAAGGAGTAGATTAAGTAGAAGAGCCCAGGTTTAGGATAACCACGAAATTATGTGTATTTTCTGCACAGTAATTTTAAAATTTCAATATAATATATGAAAAGCATTTCATAACATGTATTTAAATTTGTTTTAAAGACGCAGTTGGCTTCATCAGCTGGATAATGTTACAGAACAGAGTCTTTACAATTGTCTCTAACTGTGACTGGAGCTGTAACACACCAATCTTACAAACGTATGAATGTACTTGTCCTTCAGAGTGAATGCACAAGAATTTGTTAGTCTGAGACTTTCACTCTTGTTTTGATGCAGAATTTAAAATTAAGTAGATCCTATAGTATTTGCTGCTATTTCAGAGATACTGTTTCAGTTATTGACTCTCTTTCTCATCACTGTCATTATCATAAAACCTAAAGCGCTGTAGCTAATCAAACTGCAGATGTGTTTCCCATCATACTTTTATTTTTTGTTAATAACAAGGGACTAAACTGTATTATTTAAGGTTCCTTAAGCTCTTCTTTATAGTTGTGTTTGCAGTTAAGCAAGACTTTTATAAATGTAATTTGTTTACTGGTTTTCTTATTCTCTTGCCAGAGATAGTAGAGATTTTGGGGTTTGGTATAGCTTTCTATTTTTATTCTTTTCGATAAATTAGAGAAAACCTGTAATTAGCTTTATTGAATAAGGTAGATGTGGTGCATTTTTTTAATTTAAGTTTTTTTAACTTTATATGAAAATAGTGGCTTTGTTTGACAGCAGAGCAATTGAGTGTGGCCAGTTGAAGTCATCAAGGAGATGCTTTAATATGTATATTAACTGAGCAATACTTTATTGAGTGAAAAACCTAAAAGGGGAGAAGAATAATACTATTCTCTTGGTTGTTTGGCTTTGGGATTTTGGTTTTTAAATTATAATATTACCTTTAAGACTATTGGTATTATATAGATGTAGATAATATACATGATTATTCTGGTTAAGCTTTAATGACTTTTAGCAAACATTTAGAGTTGTGATTTGAAAAAAAGAATATAACTTTTCACTTTTGCTTTAAAATACGATTGTCCATGGTTTAGTTCCCAGGAGTGGTTGGATTACTTTGCATCCTTTCCAACAGACGGACAAAATAAACAGTAGCGTATAAAGTGACTCAGCTGTGCCTAGGGACGCTCTAAGCTGATTTTCCATGAGCTGCTTTTGTCTCTGTCCTGTTGAAATAGCTCTTAATGCACAACGAGACACGGGTTGAATTGGACTGCAACTGGAAATGTGTATTAGAAGCTTAACGCATAGTTTTGTAGAAATTAGCATTGTTTTACCTGAAATATTTGCATTTTCTGCATCGAAAAAATTAATGTTTTTTTTTTTTTGTAGTTAATAAGACATCTTTAGAGGGTAGTGTGAGAACAAATTTTACTCTTTTTAAAATAGATCCTTACAATAAATGAGGATGGATCACTTGGTCTGAAAACCCACAAATCTCATGTTTGTGAGCATTGCAATGCTGCCTTTAGAACCAACTACCATTTACAGAGACATGTCTTCATTCATACAGGTACTGCTTGACTTCAAATTTGTCTTTTCTATTATATAAAGAGTTGTTTACTTATGTTAAAAATGTTTTCAGCTCTATGCGAATTTCAGTTTTAAGAGTGTAGCTAACTTGGCATCTAAGCTTAGAGATTCCATGCACCAAAGTGTCAAAAGAATATCAGAAAAAAAAAAATCAACATATATTTAATAAACTGAAGAGCTAACTGTTTACAAGGTTTCTTTTCTTTCTTTATCAGAAAGTAATGGGTTGACTTGTAGCCTAAGTGCCAAAAATTGACCCCTTTGTAAAATTTGCTGCGGCTGTTTATTTGCCAGATGAGGTATCTCTCTGTTCGGAGAAGTGAAAAAGGTACTTACTGTTATAATAGCTTGCCAGTATCCTGAATGTAGTCTATGCCAGCATCCTGATTGATCTTGCTCATGAGGAAATTACAGCCATTCCAGATCACTCTTCTGTGCTAGTGTTAATGTGACTCTTAGGATCATGGAGAGAACTCTGCAGTTCATATCCGTAGTAAGGCAAATGTTTTTTGGTATCAGGGTATTTTTGGAATTCGCTCAGATGCTGGTGTTTTTAATAGACATTTTAATATTCCTCGAAAATAGTTATCAGAAACAACAGTGTGTAGTTATTAACTTATGGATGTGGAATTATATTGTTCAAGGTGAAAAACCATTTCAGTGCAGTCAGTGCGACATGCGTTTCATACAGAAGTACCTGCTACAGAGGCATGAGAAGATTCATACTGGTGAGTATAGTGCCTTGAGTATCTTTACTGGAGTGCTTAAAAACTGTTTCCCCACTCAGGCAAGGTTTCTGGTAATAAATATACAGCCTAAAACCCTGTCATAGTTTGTTTTAATTTAACACGTGTTATAAAGTTATAAAGCTTTTTAAAAGAAATTAGTTTTGTGCTTTCAACTTGTTCCACTTTCCTTTGGCTGTAAAATGAGTATGAAGTCCACTAAGCAGATCTGAAAGTAGTTTTCTATAAATAACCCCAGAGCAGCAAATCCTGAAGTTTGTGCATTCATAAAAGTCAAAGTTCGTTAACCAGTTCTGTCTTTTGTTGTATCAAGTTAATTCAGACAAGGGGGACTTCCAAATTACATTTCCATAGATTTATTTGTTTGTTTGTCTGTTTGTTTGTATTTGAATTTGATGGAAAAGTGCCAGGACTAAAATGGCCAAAATGCCTAACCCGAAAGGTATTAGTATCAGCTTTTCTTTTCACATTTTTTCTTCTTTTGGGTTTAATTCAGAACTGTTCTAAAAAGAAGAGTCTTAGTTTAAAAATACGCAATATAGGTCAAATAAGGCCCGAAGCTTTAAGCCAAAGAGAATTAAAGTTTATATATGTTTAATTTTTTTATCTTGTTGCACCACACAGAACCACATTCTTTAAGAGGTTTGGTTTCATTGGGTTTTTGGCATTTTGGTGCATGGCCTTTTAATCCCTCTTTAAATATTTTGTAATATGGTCCCTTTTGGACTAGATGCCAATTTCTCAGCCTCTTTTTCAGAAAAGCAGAGCTGGTGAATGTGCACAGTGTTTCTTGGCTGTAGCATTTAAATGGATATGAAAGCTACTAACACGCAGTGCAGTGTGTGCATGTGGAAGGGTTGAGAGGGAAAAAAAACTTTGCAAAATGAATTTTCAGAGCAGTGTACAGGGAGTTACATGCACAAATGCCCTGTTGTTCATGGGATTTTTGTATCCTAGGTTGCCATGAGTCCAGACTAAGTAGGTTTCCTTCAGCCAGTCAGGCACAGAAGAGTCTTCCATTCTTCTGTCCAGTGTCTTTGTTCTGCTCCTAGTCTTTCCTCTGGCTCTGAATTGGTGAACCATGCTGCCTCCACTTTGTGTAGATACTTATTCTTGAAAAGAATGCTTATTCAGTCCCTTCCATCTATCTACCCCCCAACAGGCAAAAAGTTAAGTGCAGTCTTCACATTTTTTAGAAGATTTTTCTTTTTCTTTTTCTTTTTTTTTTCCTTTTTTTTTTTTTTTCAAATGAGGATTATTCCTTGTACTTGGCTTTGAAAATGAGAGTCTGGTAAATATAGTTAATTAACACCTGACTGCAAATATTTTATAAATTGATTTCATTATCTTTTAAAATTTAGCTTCTAGCTCTAATGAGGAATCTGTGTCAATTGTAAGCTTTGGAGGGAGGGGGTGGGTGTGGTGGGATTGTAGGTTTTTATGCCAGCTCTTACATATGCTAGTCTTTGTTTAACAGAGAAAAAGGTACCTAATTTAACTAATTAACCATATTGTTATCTGACTTTTTTTAGATAACTGTGTTTCCTCCTTTCCTCAGCATCCTGAGGTATAGTTTGGTTGTTTCTCAGAAAGTAGAAGATGGTGCTTGTGTTTAACTTGTTAAATCATGGATATTTTCCTAGGTGACAGCTAGTAATGATTAGGAGAAAACACATAAAACCCAACTTCCAGGAGTGGCAATTTTTTTTTCTGAAGGCTGTTTAGTTAACAAGAATTTAACTAGTGTTTAATTTTTGGCTTTTCCCAGTTATAGTGTAGCTAATTGGCACTGTGCATACCTGTCTGTGCTTTCACCTCTGTATGACAGTGTTCACTACTGGCCCTTAGCTGTTTGTGTAGTCAGGCTGTTGTTCAGGGCTGCATAACTAAACCCATCCAGAAAAACTGAATTTTCAGCTTGCTTCTCTAATGAGAAAGTGAGCAGTGGGTCTGTGTTTTACTGTGATAAAAGTAAAGATCTGTTTGTATTACTCATACCCAAAAAAAATTTTCTTAACTTTATTCAATACTTCTTTTATATTACATTTTTATCTCCATGAATAATAGCTCCTCTTTTAGTACCAGCTTTTGTACAGTGTTCAAAATGCTGATGTGGAACAGGAAATCTCTTTCTGTTTTAAAGATTTTTATCAAATTTTCCAGTTTATTTTAAACCAATGAAGGAGAGTAGTAACAGGTAGAAGCCCCATTACAAGCCTGTTACAAGCCCCCAGTTACAAGTGCCCCAGCTATTTCCAGTCTGATTTGACTTTAGTTCTCTGAACCACTCCTTCAAAGAAAATGTTGTGAGGGGGTTAGGAAGCAATCAATGAACAGCCTTATTCTGTGTAAATAATTAAACAGTTGCATCTAAAAGCAGACATTGCATTAATACAAAATTTGCTTATAATTGTGTGTAGAGGAGGGCAGCAGTGTTGGAACCCTGCTGCTAAACTTGTCCCTAATGATACAGAAAATGGCTATTTTAGTTGTAAGAGAGGGAAGAGTCACTGGTATGAAAATATTTTCTGTTTACGAGGTTGGAGAAGATGCTGAATGTTCATTTCTTTTTTTTTTTTTTCCCAAATATGTCTGCTTACTTTTTGCTTAGAGATGTTTCTATATACCTTACCTCACTCATGTTCATGTGTCCTAATTGTGTAAGCCAGCCTACTTTCCATTTTAAACACAAAATCTAAGATTACATTAAAAAAATAAAACACCATTGGGGCTAACAATTCAAGTGCCTACTTGTTCAGTCATGCTGATTTTTTTATTGCCTTCTTTGGTATTTTGTAATTTGTTTTTTTGTCTGTTTAGACTTTAAAATGCCTGGGTTTGTAATTGTTATAGCCTTCATACACATAATATTTGTACTACACTGGATGAATAGTTCTATTGCTTGATTTTAATAGATGCAAACATAGACACAGCACATGGGCTGTTTTCATAAATAATGCATTTATTGTTGTATTGTATTTTTAAATTTTGAGGTTTTTTTATACATCTGATTCTTTCCCACTCACCAAGACATTTCAGAAAAATGTGTCCTGGATTCTCCCTGCATTATCAAAAGACTGTTATTAATGATCTCCTCCATTTGCAATAGATCCTGTTTGAAAAGTGCAACAAAATTGTGGAAGGCATCTGAAGTTTCTGGCTTCTGCTAGGATGAAATTATTATTGGAAGCCTATCTTCATATTAATTTTTAATCTTTTTCTAACATTATCTTCCATATGAAGATTAAAGCCAAAATTAAGTATGGTGTCAGTTTCACAAAGGTTTTCTTAATCTTACTTTCAGAGTGTTCTGGAATTCTACTTAAAAGTATTATTTTCTGTACTGTGCTGAGTTAACTCCAGGGCAGTGTCCCCAGATCTTTCTCTCTCTTAAGGCATGGCCAGCAGTGCATTTTTATGTGCCCTGAAAGTCTCCAAAATAGCTGGTGATGGTAATCCACCTAAAAGCCACAGACCCCTGTTTGGCCCTGTTTAAGCCTTGAAATGGGAATAGGTAGCTGGGGAGTCTTCTGCCAGCAAATAGTCAGCTTGAGTAGGAAAATGTTAAGGCACTCCGTGTGCATTCACTTACAGAAATGAGTGTAAGGCTGCAGGTAAGTGCATTAATGAAGTGTTCTGCATTTCCTGGGATTGCAGGATGGCTCCTCAGAGGGCTGTTCAAGGCCAGAGCAGGATTCAGCTATCTTGCTTTAAGGCTCAGGATAGTTTTCAGCCCAAACAGCCACTCCATTCTCTAAAATAAATCTAAGGTAGCATGAAAGCAAACTTTGAAACAAAGTAAGGAGAGTTGTTTGAAGGGGCAATTTAAAAAAAACCACAGAATAGTGGAACAAACAATAAGTAGCAAGGAGTAAGTAGTAGTCTTCAGAATGGAAGAGTTCCCATGTATCAAACAAGAACAGTAAGGTCTAAATGTCTTGCCTCAGCATCCTGAGAATGGAAGGCAAGGACTGGAATTTGATTCAGAAAGTCTGAACAGGCTTGTTGGGACTACGGCACCGTAGTTGTGAGGGTGCCTAACAAATAAAGAGAACATGAAGAATGAACCTGGAGTTTGAAAGTTAAGAAATAGGCCAGAGAGGAGGATTTGCTTATAGGCAGGATGAGAGGGAATGATATGATAGGTATTAGAACTTACAAGGGGTGTTGAAAAAAAAAGCAAAATTTTATGGTGCTTATTAATAAGCAAGAAATGGTAAAGTTCTCTAAGTCAAGTGAAAAAAGAGATGCAGAATGCTGAGGCTGTGAGCCTGTAGAAAAAGAACTGATGGAAGCTGAGAGATCTGAGGAGATAATTTGATTTAGGAGAAAATAAATTGGAATTTCTTCATCCAAGAAAGGGATTGGCTGAGAAGCCACGTGGAGAGGTAAGAATTAATAATTGGAAATAGGACATAGGCTTACAAAGAGAGAGATTTAGAAATTGCTTGGAATTAAGGAAGTTGAAACTCTGGGCATTAATGATCTGACTAGGAGCACATGTGTGGGCGATACAGATATTTTCCATTCTAGTTTCTATAAATACTGGAATCTTATTTTAAGGTACTGTATTGCCATTTGTAGAAGGATGTGGATAAATTTCTCTATTCTAAATGGAAAATACAAACTGTCAACATTTTAAATAAAAAAAATCCATTAATTTAAAGTTTTAAACTTTAATTGTTGGTAATTCAACAGTTCATAACATAATTAGTAAGAATAAAACTACCTCAGAAAATAGCAGTAGTCCGCATATTTCTGGAAACAAGACATAAATAAATGGTTCATATCCCAAAAATCAGTGCAATGCAGTATCCAGAACAAAGAGGGTTTTGACAGATGCTGCCAAGACAATCCCTGATCTCTATGTCAGCCCAAAAGATTTCATAGTAAATACTAAGAGAAGAGATCGCTGTTGTTCAGGGTGAGTTCTAGTAAATAATAGTGAACTTCTACAAAAGCAAAACTAACTTTTCAATGCATTTGAAATTTTTAGGTTTTGTCATAGAAACGTAGAAAAAAATATCATAGGGAAGATGTAAGGCAAAAGTGAAAAGAAATGAAAATAGAGTTACTCCCTGCTCAAAAAGGATTGTTCTTTGTGAGGAAAAATAAGGGGAGGAGCTGAAGATGAATTCAGGACAGTGCATATTGTCTGAACGAGTATTTCCTGAAAGTAAAGAAAAAAAACAGAAACCAAAACAAGCAAACAAAGTAACCAAAATGAGAAACCTGTAAGTATGCAAATGCAGGTTCTACAGAGGTTTCTTGGGTTTTGACATCATTTAAAAAATGTTTTTAAATTAGTTCCAAAAAAAAAAAAAAAAAAGTTAAAAATTTGGGTTTCAACCAAAATAGTAGGACTTTTTCAAAACAGTTCTCTCAATTTCACATGCAGATAAGGGAAAAAATATGGAAAAAATAGAAGGCACCCTCCAAAATGTTATAGTCAAAGTTTGGAAATGCATTAATTCTCTCCTAGAAGGGATGGGCTTGAGTTAATGAGTTGGTGAGAGGACTGAGGTATTTTTATACAGTTGTTTGCCCTAAAAAAGGCATACTGTAGCAATAATTAAGGAAGACCGTCTTTGCAGTTCTTAATTTGTTAGGTGTAAGATACCTGTACCTGCATTAGAAAGAGGAATAAGGATTTCATTTTAAAGGTGGGGGTTTTTTAACATAAAAAGCTTAAAGTAATTTGAGGCATCAGCAACTGAGTATTGAAAAAATAGTGATGTAAGCAAGCCCTATGTTGTTTTTCAATAGACTAAATCCTCTTACTGCTTCTAATAGAGAATGTAGTATTTGACCTGGTAATTTTATGGAAATATGTTGATTTATTCTTTTTAAATTAATATTGCTATGTGTTTTTTATCAGGTGAAAAGCCATTTCGTTGTGATGAATGTGGTATGAGGTTTATTCAGAAGTATCACATGGAAAGGCACAAAAGAACTCACAGTGGAGAGAAGCCTTACCAGTGTGAATATTGTTTGCAGGTAAGATGACTTAGTGATTGAAAACCAAAACACCAGTTAATTCCCCAGTATTGCAGATGGGGCTTTCTCCATTTTATACAGATAAATATATAATGAATGTTTTTTTCTGTCAAGATGGGCTGTCTTGGTGCACAGGTGGAGCAGAGTCACAGCTGGCTGTGCTTGATTTTATTGACTGTATGCTTGTTTGGCACTATGAATCATCAAGTGAATTCATTAGAATGAAAGGTTTCTTTTCTTTCTGCTAACATATTTATTTTTTCATAATAAGAATGATAATAGTAATAGTAATAATAATCCTAATCGCCACTATCATCTTTTCCAGTATTTCTCCAGGACTGATCGTGTGCTGAAACACAAACGTATGTGCCATGAGAACCGCGAGAAGAAACCCAACAGAAGTGCCACCAAAGTTGGCTTTTTGCCATCGGAGGAAGATTCTGGTTTCTCTACGCCTCTGAAAGACAGCTCCTTGCCAAAGAAGAAAAGGCAGAAAACAGAGAAAACAAAATCTGGGGATAAAGAAAGTACAGATAAATCAGAACACAAGAAGGACAAAAATGACTATTTGCCTCTGTACTCCTCTAGTACTAAAGTAAAAGATGAATATATGGTAGCGGAATATGCTGTTGAGATGCCACATTCCTCGGTCGGTGGATCGCACTTAGAGGAAGCAAATTCTGGAGAAATACACCCACCGAAGCTCGTTCTCAAAAAGGTCAACAAGAGGAGTCTAAAGCAGCCACTTGAGCAAAGTCAAACCATTTCACCTTTATCTACATATGAAGACAGCAAGGTTTCAAAGTATGCCTTTGATCTTGTGGATAAGCAAAGTTTACTGGACTCTGAAGGTAATGCTGACATCGATCAAGTCGACACATTACAGGAAGGGCCCAGTAAACCTGTACACAGCAGCACTAATTACGATGATGCAATGCAGTTTTTAAAGAAGAAGAGGTATCTACAAGCAGCTAGCAACAGCAGTCGAGAATATGCCTTGAATGTAAGTACCATAGCATCTCAACCTTCAGTAACGCAGGCAGCTGTGGCCAGTGTCATTGATGAAACTGCTACAGCCTCAATACTAGACACACAGGCACTGAATGTTGAAATTAAAGGTAACCATGACAAAAATGTCATTCCAGATGAGGTACTGCAGACTCTGTTAGATCATTATTCACACAAGGCTAATGGACAGCATGAGATCTCTTTCAGTGTGGCTGACACAGAAGTGACCTCCAGTATATCCATCAATTCCGCTGAAGTATCTGAGGTGACTCAATCTGAGACGGTCGGAACAAGCTCTCAAGCTTCCTCATCAGATAAAGCTAGTATGTTACAAGAATATTCCAAGTTTTTACAACAAGCTTTGGACAGAACTAGCCAAAATGATGCCTATTTGAACAACCCGAGCCTTAATTTTGTGACTGATAACCAGACTCTTACAACCCAGCCAGCATTTCCTTCCATGGAGAAGGTCTACACATCTATACCCGTCAATAGCTTTCGGTCGGGAATGAACTCTCCATTAAGAACAACTCCAGACAAGTCTCACTTTGGTCTAATGGTTGGTGATTCTCAGCACCCTTTTCCCTTTTCAGGTGATGAGGCAAATCATTCTTCTTCCTCCTCCACACAGGACTTCTTGGATCAAGTAACTTCTCAGAAGAAAGCAGAGGCACAGTCTGTTCATCAAGCATATCAAATTAGCTCCTTTGAGCAGCCCTTTAGAGCTCAGTACCATGGGGCAAGAGCTGGAATATCCTCTCAGTTTAGCACTGCCAATGGACAGGTGAACCTTCGGGGACCAGGGACAAGTGCTGATTTCCCAGAATTTCCCTTGGTGAATGTAAATGATAGCAGAGCTGGGATGACTTCTTCACCTGATGCCACAACGGGCCAGACTTTTGGCTAAGAAATCTTTGTAAATAATACTGGCACTTTAGAACACATTTGTCAAAAGGGGGTTGCTCTGTATAAGATGGAGTTCTGTACAGCTTTTAAGAGCGCTATGTTAAAACAAAAGTAAGCTGATACTAGCAAGACCAATAACTGCTTCTTTTTCTCTTTTTTTCTTTTTTTAATAATTTTTTTCGTTAGCCATCAGTCATTGAACTGCCTGATGTTGGTGCCCCTATCAAAGGCAGTTTATTATTCAGTTGTTTGAATCCAGAAAATATTTTACCTTCTATGAAATTTTAAAATAAAATCCCCAGGTAAGACTTTCCCCCATGATTGTTTCCTTGCTGGTTTCCTTGTATGCTTTGGGAGGACAGTTTATTGTCTGATACTATTCACATTGTCATTTCTAAGCTTGTCAGCATAGTCATTGCTCTTCAGCAGGGAATCAAGGTCTACTAAACACACAGAACAAACAAGTTTCAGAAGTCAAACAAATATGGCTTTAAAAGAAAGCATTTTCTAGAACAATCTTCAGTCTCTCTCAAAAATAATTTGAGACCATGTGCCCTTTATTTCTGCTTTGTATTACCTTGAGTTGTGTTTGGAGGGAAAGAAAATGAATTCTGATAGACTAAATCTACTATTTAAAAGTCTAATTAATTTAAAATACTTTAAACACTTTTTTAAGCAAAATGCCTAACTGCTAAAGCCTTTACTTCATTCCCGAAGTAATGTGTATTTCTTTGTACAGCTGAATCTAGATGTAACTTTTTAATGACTTTTTCATATGCAGAAACCAAGATTTTGAAGTTTTAGTTAAAATACTCTGTAGATGACATTCCCAATTGCAAAATGCTTACACAAAGAGTGTATTCCAAGATTTAAAAGCTGAATTGTACCTTACCCTACCTACTCATAACGATTAACATAGAGCACTTAGCCAACTTTATAGTTTTTGATTTCTCAAAAAATAAAACCATTTTTAGATGTTTAGGTTTGATACGGTTGCTTCATTTTCATCTCATACAACACCTCCAGTAATTCTTTTCCATATAATTGAGATTGGGTATTTTTAGCTTCTGTAAAAACTGTTTTAATTCTCTGTCTAGAATTTTGACAATTCCAATTACTAAATTTATTGAAGTATCCCTGAAAGCTGAAGAAGTGGGCATTCGATTTCCCTATTTTTTAGTGTTTGCTTAGTAAAAGTCACTACAATTTTACCAACCCAAACTGGTGAATGATGCTAGTGAATGGGATTTCTTTTTCCAGCCTAGGAGAGTGATCAGAAGTTTTCATTGCATTTCACAGTATAAATAAACTGCAAAGTTTATCCCTGTACCATGAATATGTTTTTTTGAATAGTACTTTGTCTTGAAGTATACAGTATGGTACGATAAGTAGTTCTGTGTGCATTTTTAAGGTGGTAAGATTTGAGTAGCCTAACTATTGTGTAGTTTAAGTTAACAAGTTTCAGATTTTTGAACTGTATGTTCATTCTATTGCACCTTCCCTAAAGGGACACTGTCTGGTAGTTCAAGGCAGTTTAAGCCTCATGTAGGCTGATTAACCAGGGAAACACACACACACACACACACACACACACACACACACACACATACAGGTAGGTGTGTATATGGTGGTTTTAAAAATAGGATTTCATCCAGGTTTTTACAGCACTGTTGCTAGCTGATGTCTCTCAGACAAAGCCATCAGGTAGGAGAAAAGATTGCATCTCAAGGAGCTAAAATATATCCTGTCTTTTAAGAAAGGACTTGAATAGGACCCACCTCTTACCAAAGCAGTAGCAATATTTTTCTGAATTTTCATTACCAGGAAACTGATCCCACTTTGTCTTTTCCCTTATTGTAGCACTACTACAGCACTAACTTCACTTGGTACAGTTGAGGGAGAAAGGGCATTTATTATCCATAGCCTGCTTCTTCTATTGGCAAGTATGCAGTTTATATAAACTAATTTCTTAATTATTTTGTATAAGAAAGCAGGCTCTTTTGATTTGTTGGCCCTGTGTGTATTAGAGTAAGGCATTTCCGCATGCTATGACTTACCAGTAATTTTGTTTGAATATTTGGCCTCCACTTGAAAAGAGTGGGCATCAAAGAAGTAAATTCCGTATGGATTATTAATGATACATGTAAAGAAATTTCTTTGAAAGAATATTTTTGAACTGATTTGTGGTCTCTCTGTTTTTCTTCCTTTATGGTCAGTTTGGTGTTTTGACTTTCCATTCTGTGTTGCCCAGAGAAAACATAAAGGGTCCCTATATCCCAGGAAACCACCTCTTGTAAGGCATACTTCGTTTTCAGTGTTCATTTCCATGACATCCTAGCTTGTGGTGCCTGAATGATACTGTGTTGGCACTTTTGTTCCTATTTGCAAGGAGATGGCAATTGTACTATTTGTTAAATATAGCAAGGAACAAAAGGAAAAAAAAAAGGTGGGGCCATTACTGTGTTACTGCACTGCTGTGGCCCATAGGGAGGTAAGAGGAATGAAGCCTCCTTCTCCCTAAGGGGACTGACTCAGCTTTATTTAAAAAAAGTTACTGCATTGACACTCTGGTGTGAGAATGTCATTGAGGACTCAGAGGGAGTGGCTCTCCTATGCCATCCTCACACGTGGGAATCACTCCTAGGGTGTGTGAGGGAGCAGGCTGCTGTACAGACTGAAGGAACTTGCTCTTCCCTGCAGCCAAACTGGGATCACCAGAGGAACTGCTCTTCCTTACACCACAGTTCATTCCCCAGCCTGCTGCTGAGCCATTCCAGCTGCACTCTGTGCCTTAGGACAGGCTGTGAAGTCCCGTCTAAGCCACAGGGACTGGCTTGTAGGTTCTTCCACGCATACAATTAAAGCAGTGGTGTGAGTAGCTGATCTGCTGATGCTTGAAGCTTTCTGCACTGGAGGAGTTAGCCAAATATACTGCTGTGATTTCCTGAGTACATCCCCTTTTATCCTGGAATATGTGTTTATGTAGTTCTGGGAGGTTTAGCTCTGTGAAAAGCTCTTGCTTGTTTAATAATGGCATTATTTAATAACGTTTTTCACTGCTCACATTTTGCTGCTTTTAATCTGCTGCAGATGCACACTCTTCATGTTGATCTGGTCATTTTTGTTAATTTTCTCTGTATGTCTGGAAAAAAGCAGCTTTGGTTGTCTGTTCTGTTCTTGTGCTGTCAGTATAAGGCTGGGGTGAGCGTGGAGATTCCCCTGAGCTAACAGCAGGCATTCTTACCTAAGGGTCGTGTGAGCACCAGATATGTGTGTGTGTGTAAGGTGGAATTTTTGGGGATATCTACTAGTGATAGCGCAATGATAATTTTGAAAAAGAGGAAATTGATAACATTTATTACCAAGTTCTTTCTCTCTCTCTACACACACACATATATATATATATATACATACAAAATACATATATATATATATATATATACACACATGCACTTATTAATAGGCCATATTTTGGTCCTAAATTACTTGACAGTGTCCCTTTTAGCATGAATCTTTTGATATATTTTACCATTAATGTAACAGACAATGAAGGAATCAGCTTGTAATGGTATACTAATAGGCATTTACATTTTCTTCATTTGATTTGAGAATGAATTAATCATAAATGATGAGTTTTGGGGAGAAGGATTAACCATGTGTATTACTGTATGTTGGTTTACGAATAACAACATAAAAAATTTTAATTGGATGATAAAAGAACCATGTTTATGATCTTGTGTCTCCTAGTGTTGTCTTTAGGAAAATTGTGTTTCAAGAGGAAAATAGGACAAGAAAGTATTCATGTGAAATAACACTTGTATTATTTTTATATTGTACTTGTCATTTTTTTTGGATGATGGGAGCTTTTCATTGTTAATTGAGAAGTACAGTAAAATCTTGCTAATCTGCTGACCTCTAAACAGAGCATCTGACAGGTTTCTACATCCCTCATGGTCCTTTCCCACCTCTGCAATGGTCTAAAAAGTACTGTAGCAAGGTCTCACACAATAACACTGTACTACTTCATCCAGGTATACTACAGCATCTATATTAGTATACTGGGAAGTAGAAGGAGAATTGAAAACTAAATTGCAGTTGTCAAAATAAATGCACAAAGTACATTTTGTGATGTGACATCCTTGCTTTTGTTGCCTGCTTCTTCACTGTTTTCAAAATTGTAATTTGTAAAGGGTTTCTAAGGCATTGTTTCGAATTATTTGGGTTCTACTGTAACTTTTGGAGTTCATTCCAAAGTATTCATGTTCTCCTATGAAAACTTTCCACCTGAACAGATCCGTTCTATTCCATGCTTGATCAGAATATTTTTATAGTATTTGTATCATATGTAGTAACTATTTGAAATGAACCAGAATATTTGGATGAATTCACTCTGAATTTTGCAGCATTGGATTACATTATGTATGTATATTTGCTAACTAAATTTTCTTGGCTTTGAGAGCTTTGATTTTTATTCTTTGTTTGCTTGTTTTAATACCATTACAAATTGCAGGGAAAATCCTAATACTCCTGGGAATCCGTTTGGAAATGTTAACAGGCAGAAATATGTTTATGTAGTCAGTACCAGTACACATGTGAACTTTCAAATTACATGGTTGGTACTGAAGCAAATGAATAATGTTACAGTTTACTACAGTTAAATATTTTTCCTAAAATGAAACCTTGTAACTTTGAAAGTTCATTGGACTTAGGGTAATGCATGTTTATGTTAGGCATGTAATGCATTTAGCTGAAACTCACTTTGCAAAGGACAAGCACTAAGAAAGTATTACTGCTAATGAAAAGACATGTCTTTAATTTGAAATTGAAACTTCTGTTCAATTTGCTTTGTGTCAGGGAAATAAATTTATAGTCGCTTTTGCTCTACTCAACATACAAAACCTTCTGTTTCCTTTTTAAAATTACATCTCTTGGTAGGAAACACAAACTGAGGCAAGCAAACATTTCTAAGAGTTGTTTCTTGCTTTCCTTAATCCAATGGATGGAAAGGTAATATTGTGTAAACAACATTATTTTATTTTTTTATGCAATATCATGCTGTAAATATGATTTATCAAATAAGGATGTACCTATGATTGAATCTTTGATTCTGCACAGCTAGAGTTTATATATAAATATAAATGTGTCTTGACAATCAAGGACTTATGTCAGTCTTCCTTTATGACGTTTCTTATTGTTATGCATTCCATTTGTTTGACTTGAGTATTTGTATTGTCTGTAAAGTATGTAATGTTTTTATAGCTTGTTTAAAAACAACCAGAAAACCTGTAAATATGAACTGATCACAGTACTGCTCTGTTAGAAGGCATATGATGATGTACTGTTTGTAAGCAATAATACATGACAGTGCTAACTTGATGAGTAGCATAAGGATAAGTTCCAAAAATACCTTTGGGAGTTAATAGCCTTGTTTGAGTTAATGAATATTCTTAATCAATTTTTTATAAATAAATTCGTATGTCCTCCTGCTGGAATATATAACATTGTTTACAGAGCACAATTTCAGTCACAGAGAGGACAGTCTTTAGATCTATGGCTTCATCCACTTTGAATGAGAAATGAATGGCTTGGCTGCACTTCTGCGAGACGAGGAAGACTGCTGAGGTTGAATAGCTGTGTCTCTAAAGGATCAGAGATACTATTTTGCTTCTGTGCTGATTCCTGCCAGTTCCTCTACATAAATTCGGAGTCATTAAGTCCTGATACTGAACTGATGAGACTTGGGCCACCCATAGAAAGGAATAGTTCTCTTCTTATTTCATATGCAGATAAACAGTGAACTTTTGAGTCACCTCTTCCTTTGAGTTGCATATTTTTCAAATTATGAGCTATGAGATGATGAGATGGGTTTATTCTGATAAACTAGATGTCAAACTTATAGTTTGAATTGAATAGGTATTAGACTGTACAGAGCAGCATATCTATTTGAACAGTCATCACTGCTTTAGAACCTTCCCCCCCCCCAATTTATAAATGTATATGACCTACATTTTATAGAAAAAGAAATGTTTTTAAATGCTAGTCATTTATATAATATGTGCTTTGAAGGATTTGCTAGTCCACTTCTGTCACTTTTAGTACACTGGTATCTTTTATATGTAATGTATGCTTTTTATTATTATAATTATTATTATAATTATTATTGTAGACATTTCAGTAGGAGGAATTTTGCAACAGTATGAGGGGTTGAAATTTTCATTGTCAGAAATGAATTATACTGGACTTTGTCTGTGTAGTCTTGTCTTTCTTTAAATACTGTCTGGAAGGGAACTTGGTATTCAATAAAGCAAGTGACTTCCTTTTATTTTGAAGGCATACTATATAGTGCTGAATTGGATCTGAAAATGTAATGGATTTGAAGACAGAGAAATTAGTACAAAATCTAGTGTACAGGAGAAATTGTCTTATGAAAAATCTGATGATATATATAGTGAAACACTGTTACAGTGAATTTCTGATATAGTGCTATTTTCCTGAAGTCCATATGCCTTCTTTGTATTTCAGTTAATAAAAGAAACAATAATTTGTATAGATAAATTTAGGATAATAGGTTTATTTCAGTCATTATGCAGCATTTCTTTATCCTACAACATCTATTCCGTCCCTTTATTACCAGACAAAAGACTGTAACCTGAATTCCATCAGTTGGAGTATGTATATATAGGTGAGAGATGGTTTTATAGGAACCTGGAAAGTATGAATTTGCATATTCCTTATGTTTCTAACAGAAATCAGTATGTGAGTCTTTCATTATTCCTGTGAAATGAGGAATTTCCTGATACCAAGAAGAGAGAGTGTGTGTGTGGTGTGGGTGTGTGGGTGTGTGTGTAGGTCCATGGAAGATGTTTGGGTCTTAAGGCCAAAATGATAAAAGTATAAAAGGATTTAATGTAGCTCAACTCATGACTTACATTTAGTATGTAAAACAAACATTTAAATTTCATAACTCAAAAAATGACAAAAATAGTTTTGCAGGGAACAAAACTATTTGGATAGCAGGCTTGACCAAATGAATTTTTTTTTGGTTAAACTTGATATATTTTAAATGATTCTATTTCTGCCTTTATTTCTGCCCTACAAGCAACTTAAAATATTTTGGGAGTTACTCTTCCTGTTCATTTGACTGTGAGTGTAATTTATATCATGGTTTACAAAATGTGGCATGAAGGATTGGATTGTTTTATCTGTATAATACAATGAAAGTTTGCTTTTTTTTTTACATAATCATGGTGAATGGTATTGTATTCTTAGGACTGATTTATTCATTAAGTGACTTAATGAATTTCATCACTTTTGACGTTATTGTTTTCTTATGGTTAACTTAGTCTTTTTGGGTTTATAATACCCTTCTATGTATTGTGATACTAAGGGAAGTTATGTTTTTGCTTTATTTTTAATTAAACTAATAGTTTGATAATTTATATTTGCAAATGATGCATTTTAAATGTGGTCACTTGCTGTTTGAAAAATAAAAATATAGAATACTGTTTTATGAATAGACTTAGCAGTATTTTTCATGTTAGATAATTTCAAACAAAATCTGCTTTCTTAATGAGACAGATGAAAGCATGTAAAGATACATATTGTCGTGCAAGAACTGAAGTGGATACTTTTCAACAATTAAATGAAATATTTAAATATTTGATTTGAAACACACAGAACTTACCTGGGTTTTCTTCTCCTTTGGATCTCCTTGCCTTCTTTGATTATAGAAAACAGAATATCTGACCTTAATTTTAATCCTGGTTGTCTGAGAAGATTGCACTGAAACCACTTTAATAGAAACACCTAGTGTTAGAGCAGCTTTCCTTTTGTGATTTTTGTTTGCACTGGAGTGAGTTTGTTCAGTGCCAGCAGCTCCTCACGTACATACGAATCAGGACTTTGTTTTAATCTCAGTTGTAAGAAGGGTGAACTCGATTACTCAAGATTTCAAGTCTGTTGGATAACAGTATGCCATGTGTGCACTACAGCATTTTGTAGCATGTGTAGTATATTTGTTGCATAGATTTTTCCATTGTTAAAGCAAATATTTTAGAAAAACTACTGAGGATCACAGCATTTATGCACCTACAAAACCATAAATCTGCCCTGTAGCGTTAATTATTGGTAATTCAGTTTTCTCCTCTTTATTTGTTCGTGTGTGTCAGGTGTAATGTTTCTCTGAGTCTTTTCATAGGGTCCTTTCTGGAAAATACTTGATTTTTGTGGAATGCTTGGCTGTGTTGATTTTACTTCATGTAAGAACAAGTTTTGTGTAAGGAGGTATTAAAAGTGGGACGATACCTTTTAAGGAGAAGAAAACTGTGGGGAAGCAGTGTGTGAAGAGTGGAGCTGTGATCAGATGAGCACAGCAGGAA